ATTTGAATTCGCTACTCGCTTTAAAGATTTCGTTTTATGTCTTGTTCTGTTTTTTCCTTAAATTTTAATTTCTATTTTTTATGTGATATTTATTACTAAATGTGTTCTATTCCATTTTGTTTCAGTTTTCAAAATGAGCTATTTCCAGGGCATATATAATTTTAATTTAAAAATGCGCACTTTGCGAACATTTTATACTTCCTTTACTCTGCGTGATTCACTTAATCCTTGTTTTATATTAAAGTTAGGGCATCATATTTTATTATCTGTATAAAGGTAGTTTCCCGAAAATTTTTTAAACAAATATTATGATATTCAAAATACACCCACTTTTTCCAGTGCACATATAATTAAAATATAAAGATGCACACTTTTCGAATTATCTATAATTTTTTGCATTGCGTTATTCAACTTAAACTGGTCTCATATTAAAGTGACATTTGTATTCTAATCACTGGTCACATTATTCTAAAATACCCGCATCAGCCTAAATGCATTTATTAAAAATTTTAAAGCAAATATTTGTGTAATCTAAAATATGCTACTTCAAGGGCATACACAGTCCCCGGCCGTATTACTAGACGCACTCTAAGATTCTATGTAAAATCTTAATTATCAGGTGATACTCTATACAGCTGTATTGTTTTTACTCGGATGAAACCGGTTTGCATCGGTTTACGCTCCTGTATCAATGGGTTAACATTGTAATGCAATACGCAAAAAATAAATACAGATAGGAAGCATATAAAAAATCTCCTGAATAAAAACCCATTACATGTATGCTTAAATGAAAAAGTATTGCCTATAAACTCGTGCAAAACATGTCATTATTAAAAAACTACAGCGCGTCTAATCATTTGATATAATTATTAAAATATACTAATATAATGCTTGATATAATAAATATTCTATATTTATATAATATATAGTCTAATTTAACCAATGGATACACTAACGTAAACAAGTGTAAACCGGTTTCAGTCGCGTAAAAGCAATAAATCTGTAAAGTATCACCTGATCATTAAGATTCTACACAGTGCGTCTAATAATTTGGCCAGGGACTGTAATTGGAAAACCTTTTTCTCTACATGGCATTGTCTTAAAAAGTAGCAAAACCAACTATAAACGAAACTCCCTTTTTTTAGTTGTGCGTTCACTTAAAAATCTATTTAATGCGATACATTTTAAAAAAAATCCATCCCTCGAGCTACTCGTTAATAAAAATAACTCTAAATCAAAAGACAATTAAAAAAAGAAAAGAAAGAAGAATAGAATTCGCGTAACGAGATCCGGTTTAGTGACACTCCTGATACGGAAGTATAAAAAAAAGAACTCCCTCAACATCTCCGAATATCAACAAGACGATCAAGAATATGAAACATCTAATAAACAAAAAGCAAATGGCGAACTAAACAGGAACTTAGCGAGTCCTTGGTGTTCGGCTTGCCTGATGATGAAGAGATGGTCCTTAAGGCGATGGGCTACCAGGCCATATTCGACCACTTTTTTTCAGGTTCGTCGACCTGAATTCACCGCTTGTTTCGTTTATACTCCCGTTCTTCTCATTTTTATTGTTTCCCAGTTTTTGTTTTCATTTCCGTCAGTTCGCTCGGGTGGTTTTTTCCTCACCTGCTGTTCATTTTAATTCTCCGGCATTCATCGCACGCCCGCAGCTTTTATCAGAGCAAGCGATTCTCTCTTTGCCTCTAATAATCCTCACATCGCGGCAGAAACGAGCGGTTGCAACCCTTCTCCGTTTGTTTTCATCTAACTCTTTTTGTTTACATTTCGCTCGGCGATATCTCATCCATCAGCTGCTGGATAAACCAAGTAGAAAACATGGATTACTCAAATTTAATTTAATTTATTCGGGCATTTGCAAGAATATTATACGTGCAAAAAAGGAATAGAATTGTTTTAAATAATTTTTTGACTGTTGAATTATATCGTTTGCTTTGGAAATTATATCGTTTTCTTTCACACTTCGAAAAGGAATTGCATAAAAAAGAACGGAAAATCTTTCATCTAGGTGCAATGGAGTTGGTCGTCATAGCAACCAGCATGCTGCGCCTTGTACTGGTGTCAGCTGTTTATCTTTTAAACATCAGAGGTCTCCTAAGGTTAACCTGGCAGCCAAAACCATGCATACATTCGTGGACGACAGGAGCTGTTCTTCTCGCTGGAATACTGTATCTCAGCAGCTGGGCACCGTACATCGCCTACACACTGGCCAATGGACATTGGCTACTACTCGGTGCCCGCAGACACTGTCTTCTGCAACATTTCGTGTCAGCTGAAATTGGTGCCGTTTTGCTGGCACTTCTTGCAGTCCGGCTGATGTACCGATGTTTAGTAAAGGTTTACAAAAGACCACCCCCATCTGCTAAGGCAGCCAGCCTGGTGACCTGTCTGGCTTGGCTCGGACCGCAGCTTCTGTACGATGCTGTTGCAGTGACAAGGGATGATTCGACCCCCGAATCTTACAGATTTCTGGATGATTTGTTGGTGGTACCGCAGGGGGTGAATGCCTCTCACGGTTACAGGGTCGGGTTCATGATTTGCATGCAGCTTCTGAGTGGACCAGTGCTGAGTTATTATGTGTGGCAGTACCTAGTGCTGATACTTCCGCTGGCTGCTCTAATCATATACTGTTCCTCGAGACTGGTCCTGGTGGCTCAGATACGGAGGAGAGAAGAACCAGCGGAATCATCCATCGAATCGAAGAGTGGACGTTTCGGTAAGTGTAGACTTTTTCTGATGGATTATTTTGGAATGTTTTTTTTAGGGTTATTTGGGAGTAGATAGTTGGACTACCGGAATATTGTTACCCAAAATTTGTAATATAATAGCCTCTCCTCTAGTTAGAATTTGCCCTAGTTGGGTGCAAAATTAACTCAAACAAAGGTCCCGCAGGAAACTTGTTCCAGCGAGACCCAGATTGGAATGTCTATAGATTTTGCTCAAACGGATATAGATGAGGTCAGGCAAATACACTCCCTGGTTACATTATTAGACACACTATAAGATTCTACGTAAAATTATAATTATCAGGTGATACTATATACAGCTTTATCGTTTTTAGTCGGATGCATTTGTTTACGCTTCTGTAACAATGGGTTAACATTGCAATGCAATACGTTGAAAATAAATACAAATAGGAAGTATATAAAAAATCTCCTGAATAAAAACCCAATTACATGTATGTTTAAATATAAAAGTATTGCCTGCAAACTCGTGCAAATCATGTCATTATTAAAAAAACTACAGCTCGTCCTATAGTTTGATCTCATTATAATAATATACTAATATAACAGAGATGCCAACTGCTCCGGATGCGCCAAAATAATTTTTAAAAAAACGTTAAATAACTATAAGTAAAGTTTGCAAATATTTGACTATTTTTGCTTGCTTTTTAAAAGGTATAGCATGACATAAGTACTATAAAGTGGTGAATTATATAAGCCTACGAATTATTTAGAAATAGTGGTGGATAAAAATCTACTCAATTGAATTTATTAAACCAAGAATCACAATTGATTAACTACTACTTGAAAATATATATTTGCTGTCCGGAGCAAGTTGGCATCTCTGATGTAATATATATTCTATATTTATATAATATATCGTCGAATTTATCCAATCGTCGATTTTGTATGATATATCGTCTCATTTAACCCATTGATACACGAACTTAAACAAGTGCAAACCGGTTTCAGTCGCGTAAAAACAATAGAGCTGTATAGTATCACCTGATAATTAAGATTTTACATAGAATCTTATAATGCGTTTAATAATTTGGCCAGGGAACTGTACCAATGAGAGTTATCTGTAGCCGGTGATGACCTGTACAATACAGAACCTGGTGTTGTTCCTATGTTTAGGGGAAATTGTCTTATGGTCCCGATAACCACCAGATTTCCAATATTTTTACTTTTTAAGTACCGTTAAGGGTGGTCGTTATAGAACACTTTGCTGTACTCACCATCCTTTCATTTAATTTCACGTTTCAAAGTTCTAATTAATCGAGATCAAGTCGTCTTTTTCTCATAATTTAAATTCATGCGTTTCAAACTAATTATTTAAACATTCAGCGAAAGTATGTTTTTGATTTTTCTTTCTTAGTAATTTTTTACCTGTAAGTTTAGCAATTATTAGGATTCTAACATTACCATCACCCGATTATGGCCCTATTTTCAGGGGCCTTCAGGATTCTATCCCCGTGCTTATTTTGGGCATAGAAATAGAAATGGCCCTTCTATAAAAATGGGCCATTTTTAATTTTCACAGGTAAACAATCTAAGTTTAAATAAAGCACATTTAAAATTAAAAAAAATTCAAAATATTAAGTAAAAGCCAGCATACTTTTTTTAAAAAAAAATTACGTCCTTCTAAAATTAAGAAATTTTAAATTTTGAATCTTGCATGAAATACTAAAAGTGCTTTTTTTTAAAAAAATAGATACGAAAAACGGATTCAAAATATATTATTCACATATGTAATGCACATAAGCACAGAAACAGAAAGAGTTTTTGGTCATTTATAGTAATTTATAATAAATCAAACAGTTTAACAAAACTTATAGAAGTATGCGTATTAAATATTGATTAATCAACTAACAAAAAATAAATAAATATTAATAACACAGGGTCCTCTAGACCTCTGCGGTGATACGGTCACTGTTAATGTTAATCAGGATTCGTTCATGTTAAAGTATCTTAAAATAATCTTAATCACTTGTTTTAGATAATACAATAATAACAACAACAAAACTATGATAACAACAACAAAAAAACAATAATAACAAGAAAAACTATAATAACAAAAAAAACTATAATAAACGATTTACTAAATACAATAGTAATGGATTAATTTTTAATTCCAAAAATATTAAATTTCTTGAAAATCTCATATTGATAATTTTTTTATTTACTTTTCTGTGAGACTAACTTCATTCTGAATGCAATTTTGAACTATTATAAAAGAAATTTTATTTAATCGTTTCGATATCGGATATGATGTAAATATGAGACATAGTAATTTTGAGAATATCACTACATACAGTCTATGGCCAAATTATTCGACGCACTATAAGATTCTACGTGAATTCCTTATTGTTAGAAATTATATATCGTGATGCATCGTCAGTTTTGCATCGCGATATAGTATTTGTGAATTTCATTTACTTGTAAGGCACTGAAAGTCAGATTTCTATCAAAACTTCATACTCAGATTGATTTAAATTAATTTATAAATTTGAAGATAGATATGTTTTGCTTAAGAAAGATATTAAATAAATTGACTACAATGTACAAATCTTACTTAAAATATTTATTGAAATGTTTGTTTAGAAATTCATAATACGCGTAAAACAAAGTGTTAAAAATATTTTTAAAGTGTTTTTTGCAAATTAATATTTTCTTGTACTATTATGCATAAATAATTACATAATTATTAAGTTTGATCGTAATGTTCAATTTCTAAATGAAACGTTAAAAATTATTTGTATGTTTAAAACAAAGTGCTAAATAAATTTTAGAAAAAAAAAANGTGAAAACACAAAATGATCGGCTTCATCAACAATCAAAAATACAGTAGAGTCCCGATTATCCGAGTTAATGTGGACCACGACTAACTCGGATAACTGAAAAACTCGGCTAAAACGAAGAGTATAAAAAAAGAAAGAAAAAGAGTTGGTATAAATGTAATATATTTAAGAAATATAAAATTTATATGAGTATACCACATATATGACAAAAATAAATTTTGTTTTAACTTTATTTCTAAAAATAAAAACAACAAGATTTATAAATTTAAAATCAGTAATAAAAACTCATTAAATTATTAGAAGTTTCATCCAAAAAGTTTTTAATAAATTAAAAGAAAGTAAAAAAATAACCTAACAAATTCAATTCTTTATGGGCACCTAAACTAGATTGCCGATAATTTTCACATAAAATAAAAAGTTTTTTTTTAAAAAAAAAACTTAATCTAATTAATGAAGAAACTCTTTTTTATATATTCTTTTCAATAATAGATTGCCTTCAGAACAAGGTAACATCGGCGATCACGAAGTTTGTCCCACTGAAAATAATCTACAAGAAAAGTCGCGACAAAGAAAATAAAGCTATGAAGTGCGTAAAGGAACATGCGATATAACGATATGTGTTCTCAAAACTCTGATTCTGATTCTACAGCTCACCCATCAAAGCCATTTCAACATAACGAAACGAACATCGTCTTCCACAGCGCGAGTCGACATCGGAACGTAAGAGAAGAGTCTTATATCGCTATATCGTTATCTTATATCCTTGCGTGTCTTATATCGCTATATCGTTTTGCGCTTGTTGTCTTTACTCGACGGCTTAAATGGGATTTCTGATGTATCGCCTTGAATGAAAGTCGCTGTATCGTCTTGCCGATATATGCGTTAAATCGATATGTCTCGATACATCGATTTATAGCCCAGTCCTAGTTAGAAGTTTTGTTGCTTTTATGTGAAAGTTTGCACTTGTTTACGTTAAATTAGACGACGTAGAATATAAATTGGACGATACATTATATAAATATAGAATATTTATTATATCAAGCATTATATTAGTATATTATAATAATTAGATCAAATGATTAGACGCGCTGTAGTGTTTTAATAATTGCATGTTTTGCACGAGTTTATAGGCAATACTTTTATATTTAAGCATACATGTAATGGGTTTTAATTCAAGAGATTTTTCATATACTTCCTATTTGTATTTATTTTTGACGTATCGCATTACACTGTTAACACATTGATAGAAGAGCGTAAACAAATGCAAACCGGTTTCATCCTAGTAAAAACAATACAGCTGTATAGAGTATTACCTGATAATTATAATTTTACGTAGAATCTTATAGTGCGTCCAATAATATGGCCGGGGACTGTAGTTGTCTTTGAGAAAAGGAACGAACTGTAAGAAAGAAAAAAAAATATTAAAGAAGAAGAAAAAGGTGTAATTGGTTTGCCCTTGTTCGGAAAACCCTAGGCGCAGTCTTAATCAGTGGGTGTAGAAAGAAAAAAATGAATAAGTAACTAAATAAATAAAAAAAAGATCGAAATTAATGTTAACTTTCAAATGATTTTATTCTGACTAACCTTTGACTAAGTGAAGTCAAGACTTTCCTCTTCTTTTATTGAAAAAAAATAAATAAATAAAAATTAAAAAAAAAAAAGAAAAGAAAACTTCAACAGTTTTTTTAAACTAACGATTTCTATTTTTCCTCTATTTTTTGTGAAGATAAATAAGAATGAGTATTTCGTTTTAGCCTGATTCAAATACTTCACGAACGCAAAGAATAAAAATGAATTAACGGAAAGAAAAAAAAAGTTTAAATCATACATTTGATTTTATGCGTTGAAAAATAAGAATAAAAGAACAAACAAACGAAAGTCGACAGCAAAGACCATTCTAACAATAAGGGGCGGAGAGGCCTTTTTGAATAAATAAAGAATATCACGTTCCATTTCCTTGACCTGGGGCCAGTGATTTATTCAACCACTGGAACGCGTCGTGATGGAATATATATCGGGGCGTTGATGTATCCTACCCCATTGTACAGAATTGTGGTGCAAGACCGTGAAAATCATTCATCATACAATAATGTTCCATCTGGAATTGAAAAAAGAATAAAGGTCAAAGCGTCGTGTCTAAACCTTGACATATGTGAAATATTTTATTTTATTTTGTTTTCTAACTCTTTACA